TAGTCTACGTTAATACTCATATTGGCTTCTCCATATTGGAGTCTGAAAATTTGTCAGCATATTTTGCTTAATTTCTTCGTAATTTGGTGCTTTATCGGTAGCTAGGAAATTTTTGACTATAAACACATTGTGAATTCGAGGACCCTTAAATATTCCACCTTTCGGTCAGCTTAATAGATCTTACATAATATTGTCTTCCTACCATCAAGGAACACTGCTCTACTGAATATTCATACTGATGAGATTGTTAAATCTTTTGTATTGTTAATATACGTATTCAGTTCTTTATATTGTGTATAAGATCATGTAGTGAAAACGTATACGGGCTTCTTGATTCCAAGAATCTAATTAATTAATTTAATTAAATGCTTTAAATTTCCAATTTTATTTCGCCATCAGCAGGATTTTTAAGTTGATAAGAAGATATTTTCTAAACCACAAGAAATATCCCACTTTATTCTGATATTAATAGTATAGGGATATTAATATATAACTTCGTTTACATAAACAAATGATTATGATGCATATTGATTGTTGATATTGTGATTTGTGGCTAACTTTACTTATGCAAATGAAACAATTTAAATATGTATGTTTATCTCGAAGTCTCTATTAGTTAATATGAGTTATATGTTTCAGTTGTTTTATTTAAGCTCAAAACGAGTAATTTAGAAAACTCAGTAAACTATTAAATTGCTATTAAGGGTTTCAGATTTTCCCACCTCCAACAACTCCTCCAGAGCCAGCTCCACCTGATCATCAACTCATAACGTGTACATATAAGAGTCAATTCGTATCGGCTTCCGAGTCTAGTTTGGAAGAAATAACATGTAATCTATTTTATTTATTTGAAAGTTGTGCAAATTTAATGCTCTTAATTATTTTTTCATGCCTTCATTAAGCAGCTGATGTAAGTGGATCAAAGGATTCATTGGCCACACATGAAGCAGGTTGATTTAAGCTTGTTTAATTGTACATTGTTGTAATGATTGTTATGATTTGCGAATTTTAAATAGTTTTCTTTTCACCGGTTTTCATATTATTTTTTATTTATTCATTTTATTTTTTTACTGTTCAAATATTTTTCCTTGATACACAATCATATAAACGAGTATATCACAAAATATATGATCTTGTAATAGATAAAATAGAATTTCCATATGCTAGATAAACTAATATTTCGTGCCTGAAATTCGACTTCGCGGAGGATCGCTAAGCAAATTTACTTAATTCATTTTATTTTAAACATCCTATTTTCCACTACAAAATAGTTAATTTTTAATGTAAAACTAAATATAATAGCATACAAATTTGTCGCAATGCCATTTTTGTGAAACTCATATCGTCCAACTGTTATGTAATACAATAAACATTAAATTTTCATTTAAAAAACATATGTTCAATTTGTAAAATAAAGTTAGATTATCTTTTGCAACATAGGCATAAAGGTTAAATTTTAGAAAAGCGTAACTGAATTCGTGGGTATTTACGAATAGAGGAGGTTTTCCAGATTTAGAAAATATACACATTTAGGTGCCGCTGAAGTATGGTTTTTGAGATATTTGCATTAAAGTTCAAAAAATGCAACTATTTAACGTACGTGTTTCCTTAATTTATAATAAATTCTACTCTTATATTTTTAACTTCTATATCCTCTAACACTTCACGAATTCGTTTCTACACATGTATTTTATATTAAAAAGTGCATAAATAACTTCAATTCAATATTTAACTTTTGTTCAGTTCTTTTTATTCACACAATAACAAAAGGGTTGCACTCTTATAAATGATCAGTTTTACCTTATCTATAAGGAACCAAAAGGAATAAAGAAAACGGATGATACCCCAATGACAGGAAATAAATAGCACATTATTATTTTTTCGCGTAGAATTCCATTCTGCGTTGGCGGCCTTCGGCCACGCTTCAAAAAATTAACCTTGGTCGGTTCAACACAGGGGTGTCCTCAGTTCTTTTGCTTAGAACTCCTTGTTGCGTGGGCGGCCTTCGGCCCCGCTTCAAAAAAAAAAATCCCTGGTCCACCGGGATTTATCAAAAGTGAAGTGTTAGTTGTTATAAAAGTTATAAATATAAATGTAAAATTCATTTTAAATCGAAAAAATACGTACCTCAAATAGTTGAATTTTTGAACTTTAAATGAAAATATCTCAAAAACCATAAATCAGAGGTAACTAATTGTATATAGTTTTTTAATCTGGAGATCCTCCGCTATAAATCAAAGCCGGCATAAAAACTAAAACGAGTTTACAATTTTTCTAAAAAAAGACTAAAAAAATGTTGTGGTTTATAAAATACCTAAAATTATTCATATTTCTTTTGAATGAATGAATGAATGAATCAGTTAATTAGAGGGAGGAATTTTTAGAAATGCTTGCTCTAAAAGATTTGTCCTTGATTGACATAAGCAAAAATGGACCTGTATTTACATCCGATCAAGGACGGACACTTTCTCTATATAAGTTTTTATAAACAAATATTATATATGCTACAATGCGCACTACGAATGTAGAATAAAAGTAACGCAACAACATTAATTTAAACTGAATACATTATGATATTTTTGACAAAATATGGGCCAATATTTTTTAACATATATTTATGAAAAAATGATTTTCGCTTCAATCACGTACTGCAAACTCTGCCTCCTTTATGTATTGTATAAGATTGCATTTCATTAAAATGTATCAATTTCACTTGAAACGTTTTGACATATACGATATCAGAATAGCAGCAATGAAATATAAAAATGTACAATTTATATGCAAATAATTTCGGTATTTCTTTGACATTACCATGTTGTCCTTCCTTAGTTTTTTAGTTCGTTTTAATTTTTTTATTTTAATATTAAATTTTTTTCAAAGTATTAAAACTGACTCTCGTTATTGTAGTTCTAATTTTGAGATATTATCAATTTACCTTTTTTTTTGCAGAGTGGTTGGAGGATAAAAATGAACCACGTAGAAATTTAAACAAAAATTCCATTTGGAACAACTTTAGTGGTTCCACCCATGCTTATACAACTGGTCGTCGTCACATTGATTCAAATTTAAATAAAATTCGTCCAAAAGGCCCCAGTCAAACATTAAAGGTGCAGTGTTTTCATATACGAGTATATAAAAAATAATAATAATTACTCTGCTTCTAATTTTGAAATATAGCAACCTGGTAAATTAAATATGAAAAACTTTCAACTCGTAAGTGAAGCAGTAGCCAAAATGAATTTTGGCGGTGACACATTTTTGCCAGTTTCTGATGCTGATAAATGCTCAAAACGTTATACGCATTTTGATCATACTCAACTTGATTGTGACGAAGATGATTCAGAGGAATTGGCTGAATACGAACAGATTTATGAAAATGAAGGTATGATCTACGACTCCGAAGAGTCTATGAACGTTTATTATATGTGTGTTTTTTAAGACTGTACCGAGTCGGATAGCTGTGCAAGTTCAACCGAACGTAAAGTGCGCCAACAGAATAGCTCATACTACAAGATTAATAAGAAACCTCCGATCAACAAGAAAACTAAGAAAAAGAAAGTTGCGATACCCGTACAAACACCGAGAGTTCCGCTCTTTGGCTCCTATGTAAGCCCACCAGAGATTCCTCAACACTATCATAGAGCTGTGTCAGACGCTAGTAAGGCAAAGTTTTATTAGTTATTTATGCATAAATTTACAAAACTCTTATTATATTACTTTTCTATAGAAAAGTCAGCCGAACATTGCACCAATGAGCTTGTAAAGAACGATAAATCACCAGATGTAAGCATATATTAATTTCTTTCGTAGTTTATAATTAATTAAGTTCGGTTTTATAGTATTCCATGGTTCCTGAAAGTATCAATTTGTTTGGAACAGACAATTTGACAGAATTTAATATAAATCCGAAATCTCTGAAGGAGTTCGAAAAGACGGAAAAACGTCGGTTGAAAGAAGACAATGCAAGGCTACGTAAACTGCAAGAAAAGGAAAAGGAACAAGAGAAAAAACACAAGCGAAAGTTGAAACAAGCTTGCAAAGGTTTAACAGACAATACTGAATCTCATTTTGGAAAATTACTAATCTCAGACAAAGATGAAATTCCAACATTCCTTATAAGATGTGTAGAATTTATTGAGAAAGAGGGTCTTGACTCCGAAGGAATATATAGAGTACCAGGTAGTCGAGGTCATGTTGACTTGCTTTTCCAAAAATTCGAAGAAGGTAAGTTTATATGGACAAAACACAAACAATTTTAATGTTGTGGATTAACATATATTTATATTTTTTCTTGTTGTTTTTCACATATAATTTAAATGATTAATAGCTATACTAGTTCTACGAGACTTTTAAGAGAGAACTTGATCTTTTCAGATCTAAATCAAGCGTGCTTATGGTGTTTTGTAAAGAGTCATTGTATTAAGGCTTGTCAACCTAATGTTCTGCCCCTATTACAACTGAACTCCATCTCATTTGAAATTTAAAAATTCAGTATTTGCAATAACAACTCACCTCTCAACTTAATTTTTGTCGTATTTCAACGATTTTGTAATACATTTTTATAGTACAGTAAGCATCTCCTAGCAACAGCAGAGAATGTTAATAAATAGAGAAGGAGCAAATGTTAAATCGCGTGCCGATTTGCATTTGAATATTACCAAAAAACCATAATTTTTACAATTATAAATAATCTTTTGAAATTATTAGTAAAAGTCTAAGAATTTAAAATAAAATAAACATTTAAAGACAAATTTGTCAACACAGTCATGTGCGTTGCGTCTACAATAACAATAAAACAGTGGAACGCGGTCGCTGTTCCCACTTTTGAGGTGGCTTAAGAGTTAGGGTTCGTAAGCGTGAAGGAGTTAAGCTGAATGCAAATATTCCCTTTTATTTTATTAATAGCAGTCTTAGCAGATCTCAATTCAGTTACTCTAATAGCATATTTTACTTATTGAGATATTACAATATATTTCAGGAAATTTTGCTCATATATTTATTAAATGTTCTCTTATTGTGTATGCAAATTTGACAAACACATATACCATACATTCATAAATACACGTATGTTAATAATTACTTCTCTTTGCCCCGCGCAAACAATGTTCCAATCTTGTTGTTGTTGTTGTAATGATTATCCAGACCCTGTTAGAGGGAAAGTAATAAGTTAGCTGTCATCGAAATCACTTAACGGTAGGCACAGGAAACTCGCTGCTTCGACGGGCTTGGAGCATATGAAGAGGCGGGTTAAGTGAGCAGGTTTCATTAGACATCCATAGAGGGGATTAGTGTCGTGCGGGGACCCGGTACATGCAGGATATGAATTTTGTATGTCGGTATGGTGTTTGGACTCCAAGTATGCCATTCACTGGAAGGGAGTTAAAGAAGGTGTTTATAGTTCCACTGTGAATGGCGTTCAGTGCCTGTCGAAAGTTAGTCGCGTCCGAAACGGTCGGTCGGTATATGGTGCTAGTTCGTCAACTTGTTGGAGGAATGTTCTCCTGATGTTCCTGGGAGGCGCCTCCGCTTCAGGCAGATGACTGCTTGGAGAGATGTGTGTTATGCTCCTTTATAGGAAGCATGCGGGCCTCACTGTGTAGATGTTCGATAGGAGATATCAGGAGACATCCTGTTGCAGTCCGGAGTGCGGTGTTCTGGCAGGTCTGAATCTTCTCCATCTGCGTTCTGAGGCATCCAGGCGACCATATTGGGGCGGGGGTTGATAACCGGCCGGCCGATTGCCTTGTATGTTGACAACAACGTCTCTTTGTCTGTGTCCCAATTGCAGCGGGCAAGCGGTTTGATGAACTTGTTGCAGCTCTGTACTTTTCTGACAGACACAGACTGACATATTACATTTTAGGATTATTTGTCGTAAGAATTTTGACGTCATCGACGAAAATGTTGAGGTCCAATCTGTATTTCTTTGTCCAGTGAGTAAATAGGGTGGCCGTTGATTTGGCAGGGAAAGATTTAGGTTTCTAGCAGTGAAGAAGCGAGAAAGTTCTTAGACTTAGACGTTCACTTTTGAACACATGCCATTGATTTCATTGTCCGACGTCGTTTTCGTGCAATCCCCTGCGTATGAGGTAATTGAGACTCCTTCTGGTGGTTGTAGTGATTAAACAATAACGGGGAGAGGGCACCACCCTGCGGAACCCCCTATTTAATTCTCCTTAATTTTGATTGTTTACCTCTAAAGAATACCGATGATTGACGACCGCTTAGTCCTGGAGGGAGCGGGGTTTATTCAATGACCTCAAGTAGCGTTGTGTGATTGACGGTGTCAAACGCTTTTGACAGGTCCTACACTACAAAGACAGTACTCTCGCAGGGTGGTTTCTGGTTGTGGCCACGAGCTATCGGGGCGTTTATGACGATAAGTGCTGTTGTGGTGCTGCGCAACCATCGGGTAGCATATTTTTTCGCCTAATCCATCGAAGGGTGCGGTATAAATTGTCGGCTAAAATAGCTTACACACTTCTTCGGGTCCGAAGAGGCAAGACTGTCGAATTGGATGATCATCGTTGTGTCTCTTCGAGTTGGACAGCGATTTGACAGTAGTTCAAAGCTTGCTCACTCCGGCGGAGAGGTTCCATGAATTCAGGTGGTCCACCCATTTCATCCGCTTATGTTGACCTACCAGTTTTCGAATCTCCAAATTGAGAACCCTGATACGGGGATCACAGGTATCGGCCTGGCGTAAGGTGTCGCGCTCATTTGTTAAGGCTGCTACTTCAGATGGGAAATTAGTTCGTAGTTCTTGGATTCTACCAACTGGAATGAAGTGAGCAGTAGCAGCATCGATTACCTTGCGAAATTGCCGTTCGTCAACGAATACGTCCGTAGGAATGGATAGTGCGTTGAAGGTGCTCTCTGTGAATTCTGTGAAGCCCACACAGTTCGCTTTGTTAAAGTTAACGTAGGTGCGGTTGTCCACAGAAATAAAGTCAGTGTGTTTTGCGATCGAGATTATTATGGACAGGACCGTTGCTAGAATTAGCATAGGTCCAAAGGTTATGCTGTTTATCAGACCACCACTAGCGATGGTGATGTCAGGCGAGCTGCTACAGTTGCCCATAATTCTGTTGGGGTGTAGAATGTCGAATTGTCTATCTGTTCCGCCAGCTTCTTCCCCCTACGATCGTTTGACAGGGAGGAATGCCAATGATCGTTGTGTGCGTTAAAGCCGCCAAGTACCAATCGGTTGTCGCTATGAAGCAACAAACCTATGTTCGAGCGGTATGCTGTTGGGCAACAAGTAACTGGGGAGATGTTTATACTAATAATTGTGTGGTGCAAAATGAAGGCTAGGCCACCACCACTACCTCGCTCGCGATCTTTACGTAATACGTTGAAACCTGCGCATCTTCGCAGATCTGAGCGGCTGTTCAGCTTGGTTTTTTGGACCGTAGCTACCTCCCGGCTCATAAAATCAACTACCTCTTCGATCTTGCTCGTTAGTCCGTTGCAGTTTAATTGGGAAAGTCGGGTTTGTCGCAGTAAAGTAGTAGTGATCCTGGGAGGTGTTGGTATGACACATTTCACTCACGTGTGGTGCGCAGGCCGGAACACATCGGAAAATGACACTAGCCAGTGCAAGATTTGCATCTTACTGATGTGATGTTCCGACGTATTACGGAACATATAGTGCAAGGAACCAAGTGTTGGCTTGTGGCCCACACACGGGAATTGGAGCGGGATGAAAGTTAAAGGGTTACATCATCGAAATAACAGCTCTTCCCGGATAAAATCTGGGTCAATTCCAGTATCAAAGAAGAAGCCGGTTCTGTTGTGGAAATGTTCCAAGCTCTTCACTTTTGCTTTCAATGGTTAGAACGAAGCAAGTTGAACAATCGAAGTATGGAGGGGTCAAAGGCCCCAATTTTATTTCCAAAATTTTAAAATTAATAATAAATATTATTATATTAGGAAAACAACTTAACCTCAACCTTAATTACAAATCAATCGCTATCATTAATAGTACAGCCTCAGATAAAACGCCTCTGTGCATGCTGGCATGCCATGGAAGTAACAGCAAGGAGTAATATTGTGTTACTGGTAAAAGGGTTGAGTTCTGACAAAACGTTGAAAACAACGAAATGACAACTTTGTCAACCTACCTACATACGAGCTCGCATACATATTGACGCCGAACTGTTCGCAAAGTTGACAAAATTTGTTTGAATCGACAATTTTGCGACAATGTCGGCCTCGTTGTCACATTTGTCTTTGGCAGTGCTTTGCTAGTGAAAAATTATTTATGCTGTTTTTGAATTAATGCGATAACCGATATAACCGAACATCAGACAAATTCTTCAACTACTAAAATTAAATTTTGGCCGGCTTTGTTCAAACTTACTGAAATCATTCAATTTCATTTATTTAAACTTCATTTTTGTCATCCTCACGCTTTTGCGAGAAGTTGACCAGGCGCACAGTAAAAAGAACGCGACACAGAGTTATGAACGAACGCAATTAATGACTTTGTTGTCGTAATATGAAATATTTAGAAAATATGTCGCATGTTGCTCAATTCAAGATAATTTGTAAAAAAAACATAACCTCACACTTTCCCATTGTTCGATAATCCTGCAAATTACACCCTCTAGACTTAGCCATCTGGTTTAGGAAATACTTAGAATTTTGTGCGGTTTTACTGAAAATAATCTTAAAATTCTCGTAATTCATAGATGCGCTTGCGGCTATGAGAAAAAAAGAATAAATGTTTCTACATAAAACTTCTATACTGCATGGTTGTTATTTGCAAGCGTAACTGCAACACAAATGCAACGAATGGCACGTGCATGTTATATGAAAAACATCCGTTTCTGTTTTCAACAAGGCTTTCAGTCCCCGTATATTGCCTGCCATAACACTTGCATCATCTGTTGCTATCCCGATTAAATTTTTTAACGGAATATATTTGGATTTAATCGAGTTAAAAGTCTTTATTAAAATTAAAAATTGTCATCGCATCTGTTCTGAAGTTCGGTCTAGGCGAGCTTTCACACTACCAAAAATGTGTTAATGATATCATTTTGAACGCTTTCTGCGGAAGTTTAAGGTACTTTATTGCCATATCTATACGTTTAAAAAGTTCAATATTATCAATTATTAAAAATAAAACAAAAGTATTTACCTATCCATTAATCTTATTTTTCTTTCCGTCGATGGCTATAAAGTTGAATAAAAGCTCGCAAATATCAAATTTTTGACGCTTTTCATCTTTATTTCACAGTTTCAATTAACGTTGGATCTCTCATTTTCCCCACATTAAGCACATGGCTGCGAGTCATTGTTATTTTTTAGTTAGTATGAATTGCAATTCGTTGTACATAAGTTCATACATCTGATAAAAAATATTGCTTACAAAAAGCCTTTGCCTACCAGCCAAACTACGAATTTTGAATCGAAACGGCAACACTGTTCCTACACAGAAATTCATCTGGAACAGTGATCCGAACCGTTGCCACAGAAATTCATGTGAAACTGCCACACGGCCTTCCTGACAAATCACACGTCCTTGTGTGTTGCATTTGAAATACTTTTGATCTTATTAAAAAGTCAAAGTTTCTGAAAACATTATAATTCAAATCTTATATTCAGAGATCATATCCATTTTTGAAGTGAATACTTCTTTGGCCCCATCAGAGAGATTTTTCAAGGTCGCGTCACGACACTTTCAAATTTCCGTCTCGCTTTTGTTTGCTATAAGCAGCTTACGTGTGCTTGTGTGTAGCCATAAACACATTGTACTAATGCAAGTGTGGTTGTTTTGGCTCCGAATAACCAAATTTAAAAGTGTCGAAAGGTTATAGTTTTACTTGATTTCGTAAAAGTAGCAATTTTAAAAGATTTTTGTTTTATTCAATTTGTTATTAAATTTAGAATATCGAATCTGGCCTAAAAGAAAAGAAAAGATAAGCCCCTCTGAAAAGGAAATAATGGTTAAACTTTTCGAAGAAGGAAAAACATACCCTAAACTCGGTCTAACTGTTGAAAGAACACACTCTTTCATGCATAGAGTAATAAAAAAACAAGTAAGGAAACTCTAAGTTCGGGTGTAACCGAACATTTTATACTCTCGCAACTTGCAAGGATCAAAGCCCGAGATATTACTTCAGGTGCTGGCAAAATTGTATATTAAAGAAAGTATTGATCCAATTCATCCCATTTTTGACACAAAGACATACTATTGTCGAGAGTTTAATTTATTTATTTTATTATATGAATTTCAATTATATATCTTACACATTGACCGATATTTTCGGTAAAAAGTCAACTATTGGCACTGGGGTCCACATATTAAGTACCTAAGGGCTTAAAGAGTTTTGGTTCGATTTAGACAATTTTTGATCACAATGTGGCATACTTTAAACGCATTATTCGAGCAAAGTTTTACCCCGATACAATCATTGTAGCTTGATTTGCATAGTGGAAAGTGAAGGAATCAGAAAGAATTTAAAATGGTGTTATATGGCGTGGTTGTAATCTGATATCGCACTATAAACATAGAAATATGAGAAGAATGTTATGTACCGAATTTGGTTAAAATCGGTTAAGCAGATCCCAAGGTATGAGTTTTCACCTAAAAAGGGGGCGGTGCCACGCCCATTGTCTAATTTTGAACGCGGTTCCTATAAAGTCATCTCATACCATCCCGGAGTCAAAATTGAATGTCTCTGGCGTGTTTAGTGCTTGATCTATAGTGCTTTTAATAGTTTTTAACTGTATGTATGGGGAGTATGTATATATGGGGAGTGGGCGGGGTTGTCACCCGATTTTACCAATTTTCATACTGTCGATAGAGGTGCTAAAAACATTTGTTTTTAGTGAATTGTGTTATTATAGCTTTAGTAGTTTAGGAGATATGCATATTAAATCTATTAGGGGCGGGACCACGACCACTTTTTATGAAACTTATGAATTGCATATGCCGCTTCCTAATGTGATCCAGTATACCAAATAACAGTCTTGTATCTTATTTTGGAGTTTATTGTAGCTATGGAAATTAATTTGTTTTTGATTAATGGCGTGGGCGTGGCAGTGGTCCGATTACGCCCATCTGCAATACTGACCGTCTTACGGTACCAAGAAATATGTGTACCAAGTTTCATAAAGATATCTCAGTTTTTAGTCAAGTTACAAACAACCGTTAGGTGAACAAAACTATTATACTCTATATCAACATGTTGCGAGAGTATAATTACAAACATACCGGCGTTTTTATTATCTCGGGGCGTTTAGGGCGGCCAAAAATACTAGCACATCGTGAAACTCGTAACGTTTTGCAACATGTGAAGCAAAACCTTCGATTTACTGCATCCAAAATCGATCAAAATGTTAAAAAAAAAATTAAGAAATCACTCTAAACTGACACCATTCGTAAAATGACGGAAAAAAAACAGGTTTTTATGGTCAAGTCGCACACAAGAACTCATTCATATCGCTAGTCAATAGGTAAGTGCATAATGTTGGCGGGAAAGAGCACTTAGTTGTAGCGGAAAACGGGCACGGTACTCGATAAGGAAATCTTAATGCATACTGTGAAGAATGGCGGTGAAAAAGCAATGATATAAGTCGCCAGATTTTAATCCTAAATAGCGCCTATGAGATTCACTGGTACGTAAAATCCGCCAACGCACAATTACCTCAAGGGATATGCTCAAGGATGTGCTGCAAGAGGAATGAGCTCAAATCCCTTCGACAGAAACCTCTAAGTTTGTATATTCCATGCCAAAACACTTAGCGGAAATTTTAAAACGTTGGGGATATCTAGCTTCCTATTAAATTTTAGGAAGAATAACTTAATTCGACTTATGTACCTTGTACACAGATTTTTTCTAATGGATTTTCTATTTGTCCGTATGCTCAATCGATTTCAACCGTTTTGCATTGTAAATTAATCATTTCTTCTAAAGAATTTATACACAAAGCTTCCTCCTTCTAAACCTTCTACTTTTTGAGATTCATACGTGGTATACCTATCTCTACGGGACCCGTCAAATTGACGGGTTAGCTGATTACGTAAACAATCCTTATATATTTGCTTCGCTTGTAAAATTTTATCTCCAATAGCAAATATAAGACTGAAAGAAAGGTCATAGACCCCCAACTCATTATCTCAATAGCGTAATAGACGTTAGGCTGCGATAATCTCTGAAAATATCTCTAAGGAACGACCCGGTCTTCAGTATGGTTGCTGCAGTGACAGTGGTAAGAACATTTTTCGAAGACAGTGTGCAAAAGTTTTTGTTATTGTAGTGAGCCGCTTATTGTAAGTATTTACAATTGGGAAATTGGATTTGGGCAAAGTATTTTTTACTTTCACTGATTACTCTTTGTGTAGTGAAGAGGAAAACTTCTTCAATATACGTCGTAACAAGAAAAGGGCACGGATTATTTCTAGTTCTGACACCGAGGATGAGAGGACGAGTATTCCAAGTACAACCCGAGATGTAATGGGAATTGAAATTGCAGTTGACGGGTGGGTGAGACTGAAAGCAGGGAAATCTATGGGTAGGCCGTCCGTGCATACTATATTCAAGGATATCGCAGGGCCTACTGGTTACGCAAAAAGAAATATTATGTCGGGTTGTGTAACTAGTGCTTTTGAATTGATAATTGACGCCCATATTATGAAACATATAAAAGATTGCACCGAAACCGAGGCACGTCGAGTTTTGAAAAACGACTGGAAAATTACAGTTTCCGAATTACGTAGTTTTCTGGCATGCCCTACGCTTACGAAGTTAGATCATTGAAAGTATCTTATCTGTGGTCCAAAATATGGCAGGGTGTTTTCGATGGTCTCTCCAAGTTTTTTATAATATTTTAGATTTGACAGCGATAAACGCGTGGATATTGTACAAAGAGTGTACCGGATCAAAAATATCCATAAAGGAATTTATATTTTCTTTAGCCGATGAATTAGCTGGAGAAAACAAAGAGAACATTCGTCACAGTTCAGACGTTTCAGATCAGGCACATTCAACATCAGGAGTGCGAACAAGTTGTCAAGTGGGCTATTGTAATAAAAATAAAAGCAGTAATTGCTGTATGTATTGTAAAAATATCGTTTGCGGAAAATGCACAAAAGAAATTCAATACGTATGTAAAAAATGTCCTCGATAAATATGATTATGTTGCCTTTATATTATTAATATTTTATTTTTACGTGAAGCCTTGCATTGTTAAACTCAGATTTAGTTTGAATAAATTGAATTATTTTTAAATAAATACGTATTTTCGTCCACCCGTCAATTTGACGGATGCTCGTAGAGATAGGTACATAACAAACGCCCGTTAACCTAGTGTTAATGGAATTTAATTAAAATCAAATAAATTGGGTTTTATAAAAAGTATATAAAGTAATTTTTTCTAACAGTTTATTTCTATTTGTACCTTGTACGCAGACTTTTTCTGCCCAGTGTCGTACATTTTGATACGTATGCGTGTTCGATTCATTTCGCAGGCTTCTAGCTGCACATTGGCACATACATAGATACTTATGTACATCATTTCGGAGTCGTTCGGTTCTCAAACGCGGAACACATAGACGACGACAAGCGACAGGCAGCATTTGATAAATTACGAAGATAATCTAACATACACATGTTTTTATGGGCACAGTTATTTAGACAACAGCACGACTTCAGCAGCAGGCTTGCAGTTGTCGCTGTCGCTAAATTAAAACCATTTCTACTTTTCCCGACGACAATGGGCAGCTGTAGTATTGCCACTAACAAGTATGTGAAATGTAAAATTATTCAAAGCTCTAACAAGTCTAACGTTATCATATTAATTGATAACTTAAAACTTATTTACTTATTTTTTTGCACAAAAAATTTCGCTTCGAACAAAATATTTAAATTTCAAAGGTTTAGTACGGCAACAACGAAATCAGCTGTTTGATAAATTGCTGCCGTCTTCAAAATGTTCAAGAATTTGACTTCAAGACGACATTTGCCGACAAGAAAATTTCGCAGTCGTGCAGTCGTCTATATGTTCAAATCATTATGGTTTAATTAGCGTACTAACGTCCGTATCAAATGAAATTTGTCAAAAGTAC